AGTTTAGCTGACAAGGTGTGCCAACATTTATATTCATTTGCATGCATTTTGCAGTTGGTACTCCTCGGTTTAGGGATGTTCCAATTTGAAAAGGAGAGTTATGTGTTACTTGGGCATGTCAGTCTGGTTTTCTCAGCTCTTGGGCCACCAAGTTGGCTATGCAATTGACTAAACAGAATATATAGTGAAATCTCTCGCAGCTCTATCAGACACGCACAGGCACATGCACGCACACATGTACATGTCGAACCCAGTCATCTTCCTTCCCATGTTAATCAGCCTGCTACTTTTAATCTTGAACACAGAAATTTCTCTCTCGCAGTCTTCCTTCTGATTTATTTGGTTATGACTCGTTTCCATGCACAGTTTACCGAGGACTGATGGAGCTCAGGAAATAGGGCATTAGAACCAACCGTGGCAAGCCTCTCGGGAAGGGCTCGAGGTTGACTCCAGCTTTGCCAATCTTGACTACGATCTCTGTTGGAAATACTCATTGCAAGCTGGAAATCTCCTCTTCATGTTCATACCAGTTGTCTCCAACGACCTTATTTTTGGCTCCGTACAACCTCCATATATGTAAAATTTTGTATGGCAACAAGACATTGACTGTAACCAAGCAAATTCGGTGGCCATTTAAAACGTAAGCATGCTTCCACTAGAGGAGTTTGGACAGTGGTTGGGGAAACTGGAAACTTGTTCTTTTTTAGCTGCATGTCATCGTGATATGACTTTGCTGTAATGAACAGAAACATGATGGTAACACGGTTGTATTTCGTGTTTTTAGTTTAAAAATATATTAAAATAATATTTTTTTTATTTTTTAAAATTTATTTTAATATTATTATACCAAAACAATATAAAAATAAATAATTTTAATATTGTGGGGCAACATGTTTTTATAAAAGTTATTTTTAATTAAAAACATTTTAAAATAATTTTTTTAAAATTTTTTTATATCCGTATATTAAAATCATTAAAATAAAAACTAAATAAATATTGATTTAATACTTTTTTTTAAGTAAATAGTTTGGGGGGGGGGTGTCACCGCCATCATCGATTCTAAAGCATGTTCCTCTTTCAATTTCCTATGACAAGTGAGTTTTTATTGTTATTTTCATTTGTTTTGAGTGAGAAGCAGATGGATTTAATGTGGTGGTGATTCATGGTTTCATAACAGACAAGTAAGGGACACGCACGAGCACATCAGATGGTGAATGTGGTGGTGATTCATAGTTTCATGCCAGACAAATAAGGGACACACACGAGCACATCAGCTGGTGGCTCCGGTGATCGAAATTGTCAGCCGTTGAATATGGTATCGGGGTGGTAGATATTATATTAAATGAATGTCATTATCAGCTCCATAAATAACAGATTATTGAAGTTCTATCATATGATATGATGATTAAACAAAGAAACAAGTAAGAAAAATGGTGATCAATTAACCATAGATTCTCACCTAATCATTTAATTTCTTGGATAAATTTCAGTGAACTGTTTTCCCTTGTAGTTTTATTTTACAGTAACATTTTTACTAAGGTAGTTTTTGATACAGCCAATAATATTGACCAGCTAGCAAAGAAGAGGACTTGGTCTTATATATTTTAATTGTGTTTTTCCACAACAAATCAGAAGAAATCAATTACTATTTTGACAATAAAAGCATGAAACCAAAAATGAAGTTTGAAAAAAAAATTATGTGCATTCGTGCTCCTTTTCCCCAAATGTTGCAAATGTATTATTATTATTATTATTTTTTGTATAAATCATGAAATTAAAATCTAACACATTCAATATATTTTGATATTAAAATAGTGATATATTTTATGATATATAAATATTTTTTAAGATATATGTATTAAGACTTTAAGGTATTAGATTAATTTAAAAAAATTTGAGTTAACTAGAAAATTTATGATCCTAATAATGAGACAGCAGCGGAACTAAAGGGAGGTAAGCAAGGGTCCAATCCTGTAAAATATTTGAGATTTTTTTATTATTTAGTATTTTAATATAACAAGTAATATTTTTCATTTTACATAGATGGAATTTCTAATAATAAATTTCATTAGTTATCTCTAATTTAAAATTATCTCTTTGTGAAAGTGAAAAAAAAAAAAAACATTTCTTTACACCCTTTTTTTTTCGGATTCCTAAACAAAAAATATAATAATACAAAGCAGCAAGGTTAGAGCAAAACTATCAATTAATTATTTATCAAAACAAGGTAATTCGTCATCCAAATTTAATTTTTTAAAAAAATATTTGTTAAAAATTTAATTAGGGTTTTTTATGTATATAATTCTGCTGTTTTTTTCTTCTTCTTTTTCCATACCTACTAGTTTTATCCTTTTTTTATTTCTTGTTATAATGAATGTTTTTTTTCTGATTAATTTGATATATTTTATGAGTTTGTTTCAATTATGCTTGAATTTTTTATGTTTTATTTTTAGCTAAGCCATCTAAATTATCGTTTTTTTCTTACATGTACCTTACTATTACCGGGTCCAATATATAATTAGATATAATTTTTCTAACCAAATCGAGTTATTTGAAGAGCACATACCTAGTTTTGAAGAGCACATATCTAAATGAAATTAACTTCATAACTTTGACTTAATTTGGTATTGCATTAAACTTCTTTTCTTATACAAAGATCATCATATATTTGTGGTAAGTTCTTTGAATAAAATCAAATCATGCAGTTTTTTTTATAATTCATGTACAATAAATTAAAAAATTATATCCTGTTATATTAGTTTTGACCCCTTGTTAAATAATCTAAGCTTCGCATCTGCATGAGACCATGATAACATCATATATATATAGAAAGCAAATCAACATAAAATTTAAAAAGCCTAATTCCAGACAACTAAATGATAAAATGCAAAAATTAAAAAAAATATTCAATTTTAGAAAAGGATTCAAAAAGGCAACTTGAGTAAAGTTAGGTAAATATGTTAAACCAACAACCCGAGTCACGAGAACAAAATTATTTAAAAAACAAGAAAAAAAACTTGAGTCACCATTTTAAATTAATAATTCAAGTCATGAGATTGAGATAACTACATAAAAATAAAATTGAGAAAATTACATTTTTTTTAAGTTAAAAGATAAAAACAATTCTGGCATAATCCAAAAATAATAATTTTATTTGTGTATGGTGTTTTTTAAAATAAGTTATTTAATTTTATTTAAGTTAAGGTTTTGTTTTTTTTCAAAAAAAAGGAACATCCTTTTCAAAGGAGCACATGAGTTTAAGCTTGATCGACCAGCTCTTGGACCCAAAATCAAAGGCATGTTCCTCTAAGTTAGCCCATTAATTCATTTATTTTTATGTTAGATGTTTATTTTTTTATTAAAATAAATAATAATAAATTTGATAAACAATATGTCACTTTTAGTTCCACCACCAACAACACTAGGTGGCTCAAAACTAACAACCTTAGGTAGCTGAAAAGTTGAGCTAATGATAATTTGTTCTTGAAAAAAAACTTGTTTTTTAATATTTATTTTCCCAAAAACATATTAAATAAACTTATTTACAGGCTAAAATTAGGTTTAAAAACCAAGAATTAACCCTAATCCAAAAACACTTCTCAAACCCATATATGTTATTTTAGTCAAGATAAAGGCTAAATGACACTTCATTAAAAAGAACATATTACATTAAAATTAATTAATTATTTTCACGGCCAAAATTTATATCAATAATTTTTTTTTTTCAACTTGAATCTAGCAACATTCTTTTTCATATATTAGTCTCAAAAGCTAAAAAGTAAGTAAATAAATAAATAAAGTTTTATATCAAAAGTTAACTTTCAAACAATAAAGGAATTGAAAATGTTTCATAAGGATTAAAATAAACTTTTCACACAATTTTCTAAAGAGTCATTTATTTCTTTTTCTTTTTTAATTTTGGTCCCCTTTTTTTTAATGTCATCTTTCCATAACAAATTAGAAATAATTGGTCACTGATTTTACAATTAAAGTACAAAAACAAAAAAGTTTGATAACCAAAAATGAAAATAAAAAGTAAAAATTTCACTATTTCAGTCCATAATAAATGGTGAGAGGGAGCACAATAAATTTTGCTATAATAAAATGACCAAACCTCTTAGTTTTTTTGCTAATATAATATAATGTTATATGGAAATCCAAAAATAATTTTTTTTATTTAGTTTTTAACAAAAAATTATGGAAACTATCATTTCACAACTATTTTTTTATAATATTTTCCAAATAATTTTAATTGAAGAGAGAAAATATTGTTTGCAAAAATGGAGAGACTAAAGATGCCTAATCAATTAAAAAAGATCACACTCTCAGCAAATTACATAAAAAACCAATGCAAAATATAATTGGTGATTATTCAATCTAATTCATATTATTTTCATGTCTAATTACATAAAATTAAATGTAATTATAAAAGTTTATATATAATTTAACACAATTTAATCAAAATTTTTAATTTCAGCAACTCATCTAAAAACATAAAACATAATACATCATGATTTAACCAACTCATCTAAAAACATAAAACATAATATATCATGATTTAACCTTATTCATGTCATTTTCTCACTCAATTATATAAAATCAAACCTAATTGTTTAAAATTATGATCGATTTAATACGATATAATTAAATTTTATTTTTAAATAACTTTAATTTTCAAATTAAATTCTAATTTGTAGCAAATATTATATTTTTTTAAAATTAATATAAGTATTTAAGCTAATGTATTAATTTATGAATTCTAAAATTAACTATTATATAAATTTTAAATGATTATCGTATAAATAATTAAAAAAATAAATTTAAAATAAAAAAAGAACAAACTTTTTATTCTCTAATTTTTACTAATCGACTAGCTCCGCGATGTTATTAAGGCGGGTACATTATGTTATTAAGTCGGGTAGGTGGAGGATAAAAAGTAAAAGAACGAGAAGACAGGAAGTCGTCTCACCAGACCCTGATTTGTCTCGTAATGAATCACATTTTTCTGTAAAAGCGGTCAGAAACATCTATATCCACTCTCTCTTCACTCTTTCACACAACAAATAAGCATCTCTCTCTCTCTCTACTCTCGAAGGGGCGCTCTGAGGTAAAGCTTCAATCTTTCCATTTTCTCCTTTACTTTTTCATTTGATCAAAATCGAGGGTCTTAGTTATTTTCTCATGATCTTTTGACCTTTATAAGAATCTTTTTTTTAGTTTTATTATGCTGACTTCTTGAAGATTAGCCTTTTATGATTTGTCTGATGTGATAAAATTGTAGTAGCTTGATGACCATATGGCTATTACGTAGTTGTTGACTATTATGTGTTCTTTTTATTCTTAAAGTGTCGAGTCTATCCTCAGATTTGGTTTTTTTGGTTGTTTCTGCTTGTGGATTGTGTGATCCTTTGACAGATCTTTCTTGAGTTTTGTTTCTTAATCAAGGTAAGCTACCTAGGTATTGTTAGACCTCAATTTTAGTATTTTCTTTAAGATATAAATTTTTCTTGATCATGTTTAGAACTTGTAGATAGAATAATCAAAGGGCACGAGAGAAAAATAAAGCTGTGTAAATTAGGAGCGGGATCGGAAAATGGGTATTTTGTTTAAATTAGAGATACTTGATACTGAAATTACTCTGATTTCTCATGGGATCATCAATTATATGCATTTATAGATTTATTAGATTAGTTTTGTGGGTTCTATAGCTTTAATTAGTGTATTTAGTTGTTATAATTTATATGTGCTTGTGCTCTTATCTGAATTTTAGATTTTAAATTGGCTGTTTTGAGCTGTGGCCCTTTCTGTGTGTCTGTGGGTGCAATGTGCCTTTTTTTTTTTGTTTCTCTTGTTATAGTTGGTCAGGTGCCGTTCTTGCGATATGCAGTGTGTGTGTTGATGTTTTTAAGAATTTAGGTTATTGTAGATGTCCAGTTTTAACACTTACTCTTTTAGATCACATAGAACAATGGTGAAGGCTGTTGCTGTTCTGAATAGCAGTGAAGGTGTCAAAGGCACCATCAACTTTACCCAAGAAGGAGATGGTAAGTGAAAGCTCCAATCAATTGGTCCTGCAGTTTGTTTTGCTCATTTTTCTCTATAGTTTATGATACCTGAGTCATTATTTTGTCAGGTCCAACTACTGTAACTGGAAGCCTTTGTGGTCTTAAGCCAGGTCTTCATGGCTTCCATGTTCATGCCCTTGGAGACACCACAAATGGCTGCATGTCAACTGGTACTGCCATATAGCTGGATTTTTTTCCCAAAAATGCTCAAGTGATAATTCAAAAGGATGATTAAAGAATCTTCTTTTGTTTTCTCAACATTCTTTACTCTCAGCTACTTGGTGTGTTCTGTTTGCAGGCCCGCATTTTAATCCTGTAGGCAAAGAGCATGGTGCCCCTGAGGATGAGAATCGTCATGCTGGTGATTTGGGAAATGTCACTGTTGGTGATGATGGTATGCATTACTGTCCATGTTGGTGTAAATAGTTTCTAAATTACCAGTATTGTTGTTTTTTAAAATGAGCTTCGTAACATTATTACTTTATTTTAGTTGGTTTCTTTTTCCATATTATTTTTGCACATTTTAAATGAGTTTCTTGACAAAATGTCGAGAAAACTTTTTTAGATAGGATTTGCCCTGTCAGTTAAGCTGGTCACATACTTGTCAGGTTAGTAACACTTCTGATTTTTGTGTGTTCAGGCACTGCTACTGTCTCAATCGTTGACAACCAGATTCCTCTTACTGGACCAAATTCCATTGTTGGAAGGGCTGTTGTTGTTCATGCAGATCCTGATGATCTTGGCAAGGGTAATTTATCAATATCTCCTTCAAGGACTATTCACTGATTTATGTAATGGTTACATGTTCTCATTGATGAATGATGAGTGGCCTGGTACATAACAGTATTGAATTTGTAGCCTTATGATTTTGGCTTCCTGTAAGAGAAAAATTTTGGAGAGCTCTTGTTGCTACTTCAAACTGACAGTTTCAATCGGTTTATTATAAAGAACACAGCCTGATACATTACCCTTCAATGTACTTTATCAAAATTAAACTGAACATAATTTGGTCAGCAAAAAAAATGCACTTGAACATATTTTTGGGGTCCGTGATTCACACAGCACAGCCTTATTGGAATTCTTGACTTAGATCTCTATCCTCTTCCAAGCAGAGCTTCAATTGTGATCAATCAGCATCATGACTCTTGTTATTGTAGTAATTGATAATTTATTCATGCATTTAGTAGTCTGGGTTGTAGCTAGAATGCTTCTTCCAGGCTATTTAATTCATTAGTGTTGCTAGTGCAGGATTTTAATTTCCTTATTGTGTCCAAGGGGTTTGGGGGGTGCAGAGTAGGATGTGAAGATAATGTTTCTTTATACGTATATATGGCTTTCCCATGATAGGTCATATATGGACTTGTTTACTTTATTTTTGTCACATCTATTATTTTATTGCATCATTCTCTAATCAAAGTGATGTTCATTGATTATTGAATTTCTACATCCAGGAGGACATGAACTTAGCAAAACTACTGGTAATGCTGGTGGCAGAGTAGCATGTGGTAAGTAACAAGCTTATTGTCGACATTAAAGAAAATATCATGTTATGTTTGTGAACAATTTATGATATTGTTTCGAGTCTAACGAATCATCAATATAAGGTATTCAGAGTGTCCCTACTTCATCATTCTCTCATTCATGATTTCATCATTTTGTCATATCATCTCATAATTGCAAAGGTTTAGAATATACTAAATTGTTCTTGTGAAGTCTTTGACCCGTGTCCTGGCTAAAGGTGTTTCTTTCTTTCTTTTTTTGTTGGCATGAACAGTTGTTTCCCTATTTTTGTGACATGGACAATCATAATTGTTCCTATCATTCCTTGCGCAGGTGTTATTGGTTTGCAAGGTTGAACTACCTCACTCCACCATAGTTTGTTAACAAATGCAGTTGCATATGTATCAACCCTCAGCTTCAGAGGTTTCTGATAGATTCTGAATAAAAATATGGAAGCCTACTGTACTTTTTCGGTGGATTGGTTGTGTAATCTAAAAGTGTGTTCTGTTTGACCTCTTAAACTGAAGTTTTCAACAGCTTGGTTCCTTAATTGTTTGGTTCCAATTTTACGTGGGATGTTTACGCCGGGTCTGGCAAGCTTTCATGGTTTCCACCCCACAAAAAAATTTCCATAGAAGGGCTGTAAATACCCAAAAACCACAGATGGCTTGCTGTTTCGGGCTGGACAGGCGATATTATCTCTTAAAAGGGAACAAAAAGGGGCTCTTTCTGTCACGATCGAAAGTCTCAGCCCATCTTAAATTTCTCGGTTAAATACCCGCCGAGGTATGTCAGTCGTCGGGCCTCTTCTGCTTGAAAGCTCACTTTCTACGGCTCTTATGTCTAACCTCCTCCCCGTCTCTGTTTCTCTTGGAAAAGCTTATGTAACCTAAGATTTTCCCATCTCTACGATAGACGCTTGAACGGGATTTATCCTGCAGCATGCATCAACAATTTATCATTTACGAAAAAACAAAGACAAGAAAATCTTGAAGGCTAACCGTCAGGGTTGTAGGGCAGGTCAAGTGCGAGGATGTGCCCGCTCTGGTCATGATTCATGAAACAATAGGCTCTTTGTAATTCTAAATCGATCAATATATATTCTAGATTCCAAATGCTGATCTACAAAGCTAAATGGGCCTGGTGGACTTGGAATAAATAGGTTAGGCTTGGGTTTAAAAGTTTGTAATTCTAAATCGATCAATATATATTATAGATTCCAAATGCGGATCTACAAAGCTAAATGGGCCTGGTTGACTTGGAATAAATAGGTTAGGTTTGGGTTTAAAAGTGTAGTAATAGTTATTTTTTAAAATATTTGTTTTTGTAAAAGTATTAAAATAATATATATTTTAATATTTAAAAAATTATTTTTACTGTTAGTATATTAAAATGATTTAAAAATAAAAAATATTAATTTTAAGTAAAATAAATTTTTAAAAAATCATGAAATGTGGGTTGCATTGCAGCCTTAAATTACCTTTTATCTCTTCAACTATTTAAAAATTTAGCACCAAAACTAGTGAAATTTAAGTTTATACCCTTTCTAAAACTTTTTTTTTTTTATTCTTGACCCCTCTACAAAAATCACTCAACTTATTTGTTTTCTACATGGTCGCTTGGAGTTTCATAATTATGATCACAAGTTTTAATGGTTTATACAAGTTGACTTTAGTCTTTGATCTTTTATCATATAAATTTAAGTTTATACCCTTTCTAAAACTCTTTTTTTTTTCATTCTTGACCCCTCTAAAAAAATCACTCAATTTTTATTGTGAATTTTATTTTGATGTTTTTCTGAATTTGTTTTTTACATGGTTGGTTCGAGTTTTATAATCATGAACATAAGTTTTAATGGTTTATATAGATTGACTTTAGTCTTCAATCTTTTTTATTTTTTTTTATTTAAATTGATTTGTTTTAAAAAACTTTTATCTTTTGACATTTAATTTTAAAAGAACTATCATGATAATCTTATAATTAAGTTTTTTTTTACACTTACCTGCTGTATTTTTTTGAATTACATTTCACATAAGA